TGGGAAATTTCCCAAAATATGGAGAGAATCGGTAATTATTCCCATACTCAAAGAAGGAAAAGAGGAAACAACCCACAAAGTTACTGACCAATAGCATTAACAAGCTGTCTATGTAAGACAATGGAGCGAATGGTCAACGCCAGATTGAGTTGGTTTCTAGAAGAAGGAAAACACATATCAGAATATCAATGTGGATATAATAAAGGAAGAAGTACAATTGATCACATAATAAGACTAGAAACAGCCATAAGAGGCCAATTTAAACAAACAACATCTAATAGCCATATTTTTGATATAGAAAAAGCATTTGATCAAACCTGGAAACATGGTATAATGAAAGATCTGCATAAACTAGGATTAAGAGGTCGACTACCAAACTTAAATAAAAAGGATTTTTTAACAGATAGACTCTTCCAAGTACAAATAGATACTACACGTTCTGATTATCAAAAGCAAGAAGAGGGAGTACCACAGGGAAGTGTACTCTCCCTACACTTTTCAAAATAAAAATAAATGACATAATAAAAAACATAAAATCAGGAATACACTGTAGCCTTTATGTTGATGATTTTACAATATATTACAGATCAAGAAACCTCAACACAGCAGAAAGACAACTTCAACAATGTTTACATCAAATAAACAAATGGACACTCGAAAATGGTTTTAAAATATCAAAAACGAAGACAAAATCTGTACACTTCTGCCAAATGAAAAAATTACACAATAACCCAACTCTAAAACTAGGAAATGAAGAAATACCAGTAGTTCAGCAATATAAATTTCTAGGAATGATCTTTGACAGCAAACTGACCTTCAGACCACATATCAATTACCTAAAAACAAAATGTTTTAAAGCTCTCCAACTACTGCGAACAGTAGCCCATACAGAATGGGGAGCTAGCAAAGAAACCCTTCTTAAGCTTTATAGAACGTTGATCCGCTCCAAACTGGACTATGGCAGCATGGTCTACCAATCAACTAGAAAGTCTTATCTAAAACAATAAACACAATACACCATGAAGGCCTTCGGATAGCTCTAGGAGCCTATCCCCTCTCCCTATAGAGAGTCTACATGTAGAGGCAAACGAACCCCCATTACAACTAAGAATGGAGAAACTAGCTACTCAATACTATCTAAAACTCTCTTCCTGTCCTTCTAACCCCACACACGATTGTGTACTTACACCAAATCACAAAGAGAAATTTAATCTTAACGCAAATAAAATCAAAACATTGGGACTCCGAATGGAAGGAATCATCCAAGAAAATAATATACAGTCTAATCAAATACTTAAAACTGACCAATCAAACATACCACCATGGATAATCAAAAACCCAAATATAATATTAAGTTTAAACAAATTATCAAAATCAAAAACACACCTCACAACATACATTGAAAAATTCTCAAAAATAAAAGAAAAATATCAAAACTATGAAAGTATTTACACAGATGGATCAAAAGACGAAGAAAAAACAGGCAATGCAGCAATAACAAAAAAAACAATTATCAAAAAACGCTTGCCAAATGAAGCATCAATTTTCAGTGCAGAAGCCTACACAATAAAACTAGCACTAAATTTCATATCAAAAAACAAAGGAGAAAACTATATTATTTTCTCAGATTCATTATCGGTATTAACATCCCTAAAAGGGAAAAGACTGAAAAATCCATTAATACAAAGTCTTCTATATAAACTACATTCAATGGAAAAAAGCAAAAATATCATCTTCTGCTGGATTCCTAGCCATGTTGGCATCCAAGGAGGAGATAAGGCAGATAATGCTGCTAAATCATCTTTAAAAATGACAATTGACGAAAATATTCAAATTCCATATACAGACTTAAAATCTAAAATATATAAATACATGAGAAACAAATGGCAAAATCTGTGGAAAAACCAAACCGGAAATAAATTATTTCAAATTAAACCTAAAATGGGGAAATGATCTTGGAAATACTGAAAAAATAAGTTGTCATAACCAGAACACATATAGGACACACATTTTAACTCATTCTCACATATTAAAAAAGACAAATCCACCAAAATGTAGATGTGGGAAGCCTAATCACAATAAGACATATTCTATCGGAATGCAAAATCATAACTAGAATAAGACAGAAATATCTCAATGGAAAAAGATTTAAAAGAAATATTCAAAAATACAGACACAGAAAAAATATACAGTTTTCTCAAGGAAATAAAAATCCTCAATAAAATATAAATAGTGTATATATATGTGCTTGTAGACATATATATGCATCTATGAATGTAAACAGTAAAATACACAATCGAAACAGTCACAAAAAGCAATCCCAAAAAATACAGAAAATTATGAAACCTTTCAACTTTTTATACAAAATAACCAACTTAAATTCATAAATTAATAAGGCTTCGGCATAAATTGACCCAAATAGGAGTTGACATGCCGTTAAATCCAACATCCATCCTACTTTACTAGAATTACTAAAGTTTATAAGAACATCACACAATTCAGTAGTTGGTCCAGATGAAATTCACTATGTACTCTTAAAAAACTTACCAAATGTTTCCTTGAATTGTCTACTCAACATTCACAACATATGGGTCAGTGGTAATAGTCCCAGTTTCTGGAAACCAGTAGCCATAATTCCAATTCTGAAACCTGGAAAAATCCCTCAAACTATCGGCCAATTGCACTTACAAGTTGTCTATGCAAAATGTTTGAAAAATTGTTAATAATTGGCTTACTTGGTTTTTTGAAGTTAATAATAAAGTTACAAATTTCCAAGCTGGCTTCAGAAAGAATAAAAGCACAATTGATCAACCGGTTTGACTGTAGTCTTTTGTCAGAAATTCATTAAAAAAAGAACATTTAACGGCAGTATTCTTTGATATGGAAAAGGCCTATGATTACCACAAGGAGATATGGTATCATGAAAGACTTAAAGGAAGACTACCAATTCTTATTAATAACTTCCTGACAGAACAAACCTTTATTGTTCATGTTGGTACCACACTATCAGATCTATATGAACAAGAAATGGGGGTCCCTCAAGGAAGCATATTATCAGTGATGCTCTTCACTGTTAAAATAAATGGCATCATTAAATACTTGAACCCTGGAGTTGACTGTGCAATGTATGTAGATGATTTTCTAATATGTTACATATCAAAAAGTTTCCTTACACTTGAACAAAAACTCCAACAGTGTGTCAATAAAGCAAACAAGTGGGCCACAGAAAATGAATTTAAATTCTTCAAACAAAAACTCAATTTGTAAACTTCTGTTAACTTTGAAAGCTCCACTATAATCCTGAATTAAGACTCAATGGTACAAAAGTGCCTTTAGTAGGTCAATACAAATACCGAGGAATAATTTTTGATGAAAAATTATCCTTCATACCACATATAAAATACCTTTGTGAGAAATGCAATAAAATTTTACATCGACTCAGTCATTATCTGTCTATATTTCTGGGATGAGGTATTATGTACACTATTTACATTATTCAGACTATTCCAGCCTTCTTCAGGTGGTTGGAATGTCAAACTGAACCCTTTATTTCCCTCACTGGGGTAGACTGTTCTAGTTCCACGTGCCATGTTTAATGGATTTCAGTTATCAGTTATCTCCTGTTAATTCCCTTTTCCAAGTTCTCCACCTCGAGTATACATGGCACAATGGATAAAGGCGTTGGTTAGATCCAGTGACAGGATCCAGAGAGTGTGAGTTCAATACCTGGTTAAGGCAGTGGCAAACTTGGAGCTACTGACTGCAGTGATTATTAAGTGACTATTGAATGGAACTATCCAGTCAAATTAGTGTGAATTATTGTGCATCAAGGATTCAGTTTCTGATTTAAGATTTACCCAACATTAAGCTGATCTGCACTACTAACAAGGTATTCACTGAAATGGTTAATTATTTTTGGTTGACTTTTACTTTTTTGTTCTTGTTAAGTATTTATTTGTGGTTGTAATTAAATATTGTTTATCTTAGCATTGAAGTCTTGAGTTATGATTGATCATTAACAGCCACCATACATCACAAAACCAGTCAAATTTAATCTTGAAAAATTTCAATGTAATGTCAATCATTATCGTCTGTCTTCTTAATACTTGTTCTTTTATTTTTCTCTTTCCTTAATAGATTTTTTCTTTTTTTTATTCTTTCACAATCAGTAACTCCTTGCATCTTAGTGGCTTTTATTGCCTTACTTAGGGTGAAATGATTAAAAAAGAAAAGAAAATCAAAAGTCAGATTAGTATTGCTGTTATATCTGGGCTGCAGCTATTGAATGTTCACTTTCTAGATAGTTAAAAAATTGTTTATGTCGTCTTATGGTAGAAGACTCTGCAGCTATTTTTCCACAGAAACAATGCTATAAGCCTTTTATTAATCTATTGCTATTTCTACGGCAAATGATCAGATGAGCTCTCCAAACTTTTCTTTCACCAGTTTGGACCTTTATAGATAAGAAACATGCCACTTCACGGAGTTGAATCGCCCACATTTCTTCCTTGTTCCAAATGTAAGTGAAAAGTCCCTCCCAGACACGTTTTTCCCAAGAACTGCCACTTTTTAGAACACACCTGTGTGGTTGCTTCCCTGGACACCCCAATCTTGAAATCTTTAAGTCAAGAGTCAGTGATTATCTTTTCGCATAATCCTCATGATTTTCATTCCTTTTCATTTTCATTCATAGTCACACACACCCATTCAGAATTAGCATTTTGACTGTAACCTTCTATATTAAGTGGTTATCAAGTTTGAGACCGAGACATTCATATAGATATCATCCATAGTGCAAAACACATTCAGAAATATACCACCACAAGATTTCTATATAAAGTATGATAAAGTAAGATGGGCTTAATTTGTTTGATTAATTGAATTTATGGCACGTCAATCCTTTATGGGCCATTTAATGCCAAAGTTTAGTATAACACAGGCCTAAAATTTTGATGGTTACCTGCAAGGATTCAACCCTTTATCATTTCTTCTTGTTCTAGGTAACTTCTGGATATATTAAGCAACGTCTTGAGGAAACGGAAACAACTGAAATGAATATTTCTGCTGCTCGTGAAAAGTACCGACCTGTGGCTGCCCGGGGTTCAGTCATGTATTTTGTTGTGGCTGACATGGCAGAGGTTGACCCAATGTACCAGTTTTCACTAAAATATTTCAAACAAGTAAGTTTATTTCTTGTTTCTAAACTTAACAGATCACAACATCTATCAGAAGGATGAAATTTAAATTTTTATTATTGCATTATTCCAAGATTTTAACACATCAGCAGATAGCTATTAATGTCAACAACTGAGCTCAAATAGTTATTAATTAAAAAAATTAGTAATTAATGTATAATTTTAAATTAATTAATAAAATCAGAAAAGTCAGAATTGCTTTTGTATCCAAAGTTTCCTAAGAATCTTTGTGTAGTTCTTAAGGTTGCTTGAAAATCTTTTTTGTCATTTTCATCAAGATTAAGATAGCCAGGACTTAGAAGAAAAAACATAACATCCTTTGTGACAGTACTTGTTTTTGATAATCTTCTATCTCTAATAAGAGTGTATTCCAAATATTGCTTCATCTGATATTATTCTTTTTATATCAGGCTTTTTCCATGGGATGCTAAAGAGTAAATACATTTACAGATCATGACATGAGAGATGAAATTTAAATTTTTATTATTGCATTATTCCAAAATTTTAACACATCAGCAGATAAATATTTGTGCTCAATTGTTGACATTAATAGCTATTAATTAAAAAAAATTAAATCAGATATCCGACAGTGTGGGATATCTGATAACAAAAATGATAAAAAGAAAAAACATCTCAATGAAATCCGCTAGATTACATAAAAAAGCATTTTATTTTAAATTCTTAAATTTCAAAAAATTTTAAAATTACCATTATTCCTTGTTTGTGCACATGTGTAGTCACACCAACCTAACAAATTTAATTTGATGAAATTGGATGAAATGTGCCTCACAAAAAATTTTCCACTTTCTCATACATTTTTCCCCAATACCGTACTTGATATATAAAAATGTATATGTCGTTATCTCATATAATGAAAGCTATACACACACACACACACACACACACACATATATATATATATATATATATATATATATATGATCACTTGAGGTGTGAAACAGGCAGTTATCATACTTTGTCCACACCATTTTATAAATTTGGGTATATAATCCCAACATATAATCTTATACTTTTCCAAATCTGGCGTTGCTAAGATTTTATTATTTTAAACACACACAAATGCATACATAAGCAACACATTTTTCATTTTCAATCTGATGAAGCCAAAACAGGAAAAATGCATAATCAGATTTTTTTTTTCGAAACCTACTTTCATAAACGTTTTTCCAAATTTCAACAATTCTATATATATATATATATATATATATATATATATAATACTGCACATATAGTGTTGGTGTTATTAAAACAATGCTTAGTGTATTACAACAGAGGTATCAAGTATATATTATAATTATTATTATACAACAGATCTATTAAGTATATATTAAAAATCATTGGAAATTTTGTTTTTATCATCATTGAATGACCTTAGGTAATAGAAAATCAAAAAACAAAACTGTTCTCTCCAGATATTTCTCACAATTAAAGAATGATGGCATCTCACCATCAATAAACTGGGAAATTATCTAGAGCTGGAGCTTATAATAGGAATGGAAATAAATGTAACTTATGTCTTGCTGAAAAATTGGTTATTAAACAAGGGAAATGAATTGACGTTTACATGAAGGCATAAAATAAATATCTGCTTAAATACATTGATCGGATTGATTTTTTTAATATAAATTAAGATTTCTTGTGTTTTTTATATATATATATATATATATATATATATATATATATATATATAAATATAAAAGATTATTAAGATTTATTTATTTATTTCTTAATTTATATTGAAAAAATTAATCCGGATCAATGTATGTGTGTGTATATATATATATATATATATATACACACACACACACACACACACACACGTAGAGATGTTTGTGACCTAAGGTTTCATGCTTTTGTGATCTTCAGAGCACTTTCCACTAAATACTACACACACACACACACACACACACATCCCATTTATTTTAAATACCAAATATAATTTTTAAAATTAAAAAACCATAATCCCAGTATAATATATATCTACACCAACATTATGATAACCAGATATATTTTTCAAATTTAAATTGTAACAGCTAGTTTATACTCAGCACCTGAAGATTGTGTTGTGCATGAAACTCTGAATTGTGCTATTGGTGATGGATAATATGTATACTTTATATATATATATATATATAATTATATGTATCCTATTTTGAATTTTTTTTTTTTTTTAGCTGTTTAATTATACAATTGAAGCAAGTGAGAGATCTGATGATTTGCAGCAGCGATTACAAACCTGTCTGGTAGAAACAACTCGTTTCATTTACAAGAATGTCTCCAGGTAAGTTCCAGAACAACAAATGAATAATTAATAGCAAAAAATTAAATGTCATTTTTTCAAGGAAAATTCTCTAATTTCTTTGTCAGAACTCAAGAACATTATATTGGATAAGCAAAGTGTTAGCTTCACCATCTCTTTTGGCTTTCAATAACAAACATGCTGGGCAACTGATTTATTCATTGTAGTTTTACAATTGCTTATAAAATTGGTAGGAATAGGGTTTGAGTTTAGTCTAATACTAATTACCAAATCATTGGTGTTTAATATGCAGAGTGATTTTATTTATTTATTTATTTTTTTTTCTTTGGAAAGAGGGCTTCTGGGGGGAGTTGAATGTATCGTTTCTGAAACAAAATATAATCAGAATATTTTATTTTATATTATTCTGAAATTTTCAATGGGATTTTGGAAGAATTAACAGTAAAAATGTCAAAAGTTTTGTTCATAATATAAAGAGACAGTGAATCTGTTTATTAGCCAATGAAGGTTTTTTGTTGGACGTAGGCCCTGCCCAGATTCATAGATGGCCATTAACCTATAGTGCTGATTCATTCTGTGTTGATTGGGGCAGATGTGATCTGTTTGGGTGGTCAGGATTCTTTTCAACTCATGGTTTCCCAAGGGTATTTGCGCATGGGCAAATATAACATACCTGACTGGAATTTGAACTCAGCTCTCCTAATTCCTCATTGCAAGTTGTTATCCATTACACCACCCACACATCCAGACTTACAGCACATAGTATTCTTAAGCAGTCACTCATCTAGTTACTGACCAGGTTCAACATTGCTTAACTTCAGTGATAAAACAAGAACTGCCATTTCAGTGTGATATGGCCACAAATGACAGAATCTATTTCAGTGATCACATAAGAGAAATCTATAAAAATGAAACTGACAAAAATCAAAAGTTTTCCTGGGAAAGGCATGCTGTATGTTGATAAGGAAACGAAAGATAAAAATATCACCATGGCATGAAATGAAAATATAAATCCTGTGTCCATTATTTTTGTTCATTTATTTAGGGACTCACTTTGTGGAGTAGGTAAGTAAATCTGAGTACATTTCCTACTTTTCTCATGACAGATTAATGGACATGCGTGGCTTGCAACAAGTGGTCTGTAACTCTCTCAACAGCCTGTACACCTCAATGGGCAGTATTGTAACTACTTTAAATTCTAAATATGACTGTTTATATAAGTTTGGAAGTAAAACTTACTAACTTCCAGCCAAGTGGCATTTGTTCCCAAAAGCTTATATTTATTTTATTCCTTTTGTTCAGTGATTGGCCAGTGTGAAGATCATACTTCATAGATTTTACTGCTGATCATAAAAACATTAGACTCTTAAACTTGGATAAAATCATTCAGAGCCCACATTATATGTGGTCTAATAGCCATTTCTATTGTATCACATGTTTTTCTATGGCCAGCGATTAATTTTTTTATAGATCTGTCAGCTGGGGCTGTATAATGCACCAGCTGCACCTCTGTAGAGAGGTAAGACTTCCTACCAATGAGTAGTCCTGGGTAAGATGATAAGCTACATCTTGCAGCAAAGGCCTCTGATCAGGAGGTTTTGAGGAGTGTGGAACCTGATCTTAATTGCTGTCGTTCTCAGGTTCACACTGACCTGAGGCAGGGTGGCAGCAACTGTTAGGGTCCCAACTATAGGCAAATAATGAACCCACAAACAAAAATCAAAACACTATAAAAATACGTTTTTATATTGAAAATATAATAATATATATATAATATATAATAATAAAAATATGTTTTTATATTGAAAATACAAGCAAATTTAAGAAAGAAAAATTGAATACATGACATAAATTGTCAAAAATATTTTTTAAAAATAAAAAAAATTTGCTATGATTATTTTGATTTCTTGTAAGGAAAAATAAATTTTCATTCTAAGAATATTGGGCAAAAAAAATGCAATTAATTATAATTTAATCATGAAATGTCATTTGCTTGAATTAATTATAAAGTTTTAATTTTCATTTTAGATTTTGGCATTAAATAACTCATAGAGATGTTGATATGCCAGTAAACAAAAACAACCGACCAATCATTTTCTCAAATGGCTTTGAATTCAACACCACAGTTTTAACTGTGATTCACTTTGGAATTGGACACAATCTCAAGTGCAAGAAATAATTTTACTTTTTGAAGTGATTGAAACGGTCAATTAGGAATTCTGAGAAATAAATCTAAATTGAAATGTTTCATGAACATTCTCCCTCCTGAAACTTCTAGGATTTTCTTAGTAAGGGATTTTCTGTACCCCCTCTCATCAGAACCATGCCCTATAATATATTTTGTCAAACCATCTGAGAGCTTACAACCATATCATGTTGAAACACCGGTTCTCATGTTATCACTAAAGTTGGGCAACATTGGGCATGTCCAGTACCTAGATGAGTGACTGCTTGGGAATACCAAGTGCTATAAGTTTTGATGTGTAGGTGGTGTAATTAATAACAGCTGGCAATTTTACAGACAAGTTTCAATTCCTGTTGGGTTTGTTATTGTTGTGGAGTAGCTGAACACCCCCATAAGATGGACTGGTTTAAGACTATTTAAACAGCATTCTCTCTTACTGAGAGAGAGGAGTTAACAATTAACTATTTATTATATTAGTCTGTGTTCTCAACTGTGTATCATATTCAGAATAAACTACATATTTTCTATATGTGTGTCAACCTTTCCTATTTATGACACAACATTTGGTTCTCAGCCTCATCACCAATTTACGAAGATAGTGTGATTTATTACATTTTTATTGAGCTTAACTTTGCCTTAGTAATTGAGCTCATGATAAGAAATGAACACCTTTCAATATATTTAAATTTATTCAAGCTATTGTTCTCATTTGCATCTGTATTTCTGGGATGACGAGTTATCATTTTCTACATTATTTACATTTGCACTAATGTCCTTGTCTTACTTACTATTGCAACGTTTCAACTGTTGTTCTTTCCAGCCTTCATCAGGTGTTTATCGATCTGGGTAACCGTCAGGGAATTTTGTGCTGAAACCTTTATTTAATCTATGGGGTAGCAATAATTGATTGATTTGTTTTTTATGACTTAGTAACACTTTGCGGGCTATTTAAAGCCAAATCATATTTTGAATTGTAAGAATAAGTCTTTTTCTTTCCTTTTCTTTAGTAAATATTCCATTAACAATTTTTTGATGATGATAATGATCTTTCCAGATACAAGACCTACTATTTAACCCATTGCTGAGGAGAGAAAAAGAAGGGAGTAATAATAACTGGCCAATAGTAAACTAAGAACTAGACGAGATATCTCTAGACATGATCATTAGAAGGCCAAGAATCTGCTCTGTAGATTAATAAGGGGTTCAGTTTGAAATTCACTGAAGATGGACAAGCACCTGATAAAGGTTAGAGGGCTCAGTGGCTGAAATGTTGTGATAATAACAACAAAGATAAGGATAATATTCTTGTGTTGATTATTATGGATGTTTTATGTGTTTAACTTTTCAGCCAAAAATCCTCTGGCTATCTTCAGGTATCCATCATTTTGGCTGATATTATGCACACAGATCTCTTGGATGACCCATGTAGATGTTAATGAACTTGAAAAAAATCACATTCTTAACCAGTTGAATTTCTATTTTATTTTTTTTTTTCAACTCTTAGTTCCAACCCAACTTCGTGAAAGAAATTTTACTTCAAAGTAAAATTAAACCTACCACGTGTAGATCTGAAGTACATTTATAAAATAAACAATCCTCAATTTCTTTTTTCTTTCTTTCAGAATCTAAGTTACTGCCATTCTAATCTTGGCCACCCTACCTAATTTCCCTGGAGACACAAATAGCTTTTATGTGGGTCATTTTACCATTAAGATAACCAAAAGCTCATTTAGATGAAGTAAAAAAAAAAACAAAAGTTATAAAAGAATTTTTTTCCAAACATGTGTAACTAATTCACTTAGAATTTAAAATCTAAGTACCATTATTTAACAATGAAACTTTATTTTGCCTTTTTCTGAAGTTGTTTTAATGAGTTGTTTTTACAGATTTACATATAGTGACATTATATACTTTATGCATTTACTTTTAATAAAAATTAAATTCAATTCATGTATTTAAAGGAATTAACATGAACTAATAAATTAGGAATTCCAATATTTTTTTAAAAGTTGAAAAAGAGGCACAGCTGTTTTTCTGCACTAGTCAAAGCTGGTGCATACTATCCTGCAGACCCCCACTGTTTCAAAGATGTGGGATGTGTTGGATTAATGTGCCAAATGCATTTAATTGGATTATTATTACATGACTTCTATTGGTCCAACAAAATAGATGTCCTGGGTATGACGATAAACTACATCCGCACCCTGGGTATGACGATAAACTATGTCCAACAACAAGGCTTCAGATAATGTTTTCAGAAAAATAATTTTTGCTAGCTATACATTTTTTTGGAAAAGAAATAATGTTGCCAGCTATATGTTTAATTGTACTGTATATTTTATATATATATATATATATATATATATATATATATATATATATATAATTTAATTTGGCATTAAATGACCTACAATGGTTGATATGCCATAAAACCCAACCAACCAACAAAATAGATTGTCATCATCAGTCCTATGACTGAGTGTAGTCATAAGGTCATTGTTCAGCCAAGCACCTGATCAATTCATCTGGGTTGAAAGCCAGAGTGATGTTCAGTCATGTGTAGCATGTCTTAGGCAAGTAGACCTGGCTGGACCCCCATCCCTCCAGGTCAAACAACAGCCAATGTCCAATGAATCTCAAAGAAATCAATAAAATCAATAAATTTTCTTTTGTCATTTTATTTAAACTTGTGAAAGAGTGATAAGTCACAAAAAAAAACCAAAAAAACAAATTGATTAATCAATCCAGTCATCAGGTGTCCATCAATTCAGTTAAGCTTCAGGGAATTTTAAACTGAACCCTTTATTTAATTTTTGGGAACAGATTCTTCTTCTGCTGTCCAAATTTACAGATACCTTCTTTTTTTGTCAACTCAGTTATTGTTTCCATTGAGTCTGAGTCTATACTACCTGACCTGGGGATTGAACTCACAATTACTATGCCATCAATTTTTGAAATATTGCTTTAATCATGTAGGCTTAAGGCCAGTGCAGACATGGATTAGATGAAGTATAATTGGTTCTTATCCATTTTTTATTCTTATTTCTTTGATTTATGGGTTACCCCCACTTACTTTACTAAAAAAATATGTTGTTAGGGGATGCTCCTTAAGGCTATGAAAAGGAAATGACATTCTCAGTCATTCTCTCTTTTCTTTTTTCTCTTAGACAATAGGACATAGTCGCACATGATAAAAAGGTGTTCCCCACTGAGGATTCACACTCACTTCACTTTCAGTTACTTTTCTCTTGGATTTCTCCTATACAAACTTCATGCACACCAATACATTCTTTCTGGTTTCTTTTTTCATATTCATTGTTTTTGTCACTCCCAACAATCTTCTGTTGTCATTGTATACTTTTGGTAAAAGTACATTGTCTTTTGTTTGTATATAGTTTTGTTGCTTATTTATTTATTACCTGGACTCACATTCGAGTCTGCAATAATTGTTGTGAGGAAAAATATACCAAAAGACACATGTTTTCTACCTAAACATAACTAGCATTCCTGAAACAGGTTTTAATTTCACTTCCTTTACGTTGCAGCTACTCAAATCATCAACTCTCGGTCAATAGTAAATAACATGCAATACTAGTATTGCTTGAAGAAGTGGACACAAATTAACTGTCAAAAAAGGAAGATATGGTTTGAGTCCTCTTAAGCAGCTAACTTTTTAAGTGACTCTCATCACACAGAACTGTTGATAAATTTTAAAATGGTAAAATAAGAAACAAATAGGAAATAATTATAAATTTAGCATGCTTCACTTTTATTTAAGCTTTAGCAGAAATTTTCTGCAAATGATTCCGAGAAATTTCTGAAAAAAGCTTAATTTTTTTCCCTTTGACAAGGCCCAAGGGCCACTCAAGGTAAAGGGTTACTGAGTGAGATTATAATGGAGAAGGAAGTAAGAGAGTATTATGAGGATGAGTAGTATAGAAATCTGCTGACCCTGAATTTAAAGAGACCATGATCGTAGTTGTCAGGGAAGCATTTTCCCAGTAGTTTATTCTACAAAGTAACAGAAGAAGCTGTTTGAGGGAATGGAGATGGTATGGCATAGCATGGCAGATCCTAGCCATGGAGGTCTGAACTGGTGGCACTAAGGAATGTAACTTGTCTGAAATTCTGCCTTAGTAATAGAGAAAGCCTGGCAATTATATTTATTTCTGAACGTTTCCTACCAATTCTAATTCATCAAATTTCAAGATGTTAAATAATAAAAGATTTTCTTTTTCCATTGAGATGTCAGATAATTCTTATTTTTAAATTGTTTTACCTTGTTTTTATTTTTAATTCTGTTTTATGAATTAGTGTTTTTAAATTTGTCAACATTCCTCTTTAATAAAAGTGTAGGGTTTTAGATAGAACTCTTTGCTTAGTGAGCCAATAACTGTGGTGCAGTTACGGATGACTGAAATGAATTAGTGCCCTTGCCACAGTAAGAGATTTTAACCCAGTCCTGAGAAGAGGTTTGAGCAACACATGCTACAAATCACATTCAGCCTCTCACCATAGAGAACAAAAGATATTCTAAGATGGTAGTTGATGACGTCAAACTTAAAGGTAGTAATCTTTCAGAGTACACTCATCACCTATTGTAAGTATGATTATATCAGGTTTTATTGTTGTGTTACAGTTAATAAAAATGGTAAACCTATTTTGGTACCCTTTTTTATTTCCTTTTAGTATCTTGTATTTGGGAGCTTATTGAGTGTAGGGAGCTTTTATAAAATAAACCAATAAGAGTTTATAAAAAAAAAACTGGCTGCTTCAGAGGAATCTTACCACCTGTTTCTTTTGACTTAACCTTTAATATATTTAAGGATTGTACTGATGAGAATTTGCTTAAATACTTGTAAAAATATTAATAATTATTGATGAGTGAAGAGTGATTAGCCATGGTCAAATGCAAAAATAAATAACAGAACTGTCCAACAAACAGAATTAATAAATCTTGCAATAAAAAGAAAAAGGAAGAGAGCAAAAATAAAATATCAAGCAAGGAAGCAAGCAAACAATATACGCAAGGCAAATTAACCAGTAAGTGGGCAAAAAGTTTGCAAACTAAGAATTGGCATTGACACAGAAAAGCAAGCTAGGACAATCAAATGCAGCAATCTGTCTCCTTGACAAGGAAGATCTGGACTGAGATTATTTATCTTGCCTCCTCACAAGGCAGCATGTGGCACAAGACTGTTTTTTTATGTAGGGTGAATCTGAGTCTGTAGGCTTAGGCAAAAATTTTCTATAGACCCCACATTCTCCTGAAGCCAGAGAGTTTGACAAGTCAGCCTGAACTGCCTGAAACTGCAGATCTGGTCTGTGTCATGTCAAACTGCAAAAAAGCTTATTTTATTGGCTAAGAAAAATATTCCAACATGCATTTGTGGACTTCTGCCTATAAAAGGGGAGAGACAAGTGTTTTGCAGTTATTCCGAGAGAGTAAATCACTAACGAGGCTTTGCATAAGTTCCAGATTGTAACAATCTTCTATGTCCCTTGTCCTTCAGGATGTGGGGGATCATGGCTCTCCACAATTTCCTGCTCTTTGTAGCTCTTAGTAAAGTTTGTCTTTTTTTTGTCTCTTTCCAAATCACTGTTCTGCAAACCATTTCAAAAACTTGTTAGGTAGGTTATTCACAGCTTTTGTCTGTCCTTTCCTTCAATGTGTCCTGTGAGAGTCGCATTTTCCAAGCCCTCTTTCTTCATTATGTGCCTAATAAATTTCAACTCTCTCTCTCTTTCTGATGCTATGTATAAGGGTCCTTTTTGCTTCTGTTTTCCTTAAAACTTCCTTGTTGCCCACATGTTCAGTCCATGGTATTCTCAACATCGTTCTGTAGAACTACATTTCTGTTGCCCCAAGTTTATCCAACATTCACTGCCATAATAAGAGGACTGATATTGTATAACAGTTCCGTACTCTTTTCTTTGTTTCTAATTGAAATTTTCCTGTTTCTTAATACATTGCTTAGCTTTTACATCTTTCTCTATTCCAATGCTTCTTTCAGTAGATGATACAAAATGTGAGATGCCAACTCTACATCCAGGTATTTTTGTTGAAGCACCATCTCTAAAAAGACTGCCACCCAAGGCTAAAGACTTCTTTCAAACCATGAAGTGAATTATCATGCGCCAGACACTAACATGGAATTTGAAATTCTATGGAATAACATCCCATGCAACACTTTTACGGAGAACTGAGACCAATCTCTCTTAAGCTCAAACAAAAATGATTACAGTTTGCCAGCAGTTAAGCAGACAGGGAAATCATCTGATCCTTACTCCTATGGCAACCTTCTAGAAGTGTCTTCTCATGAAAATTGATTTTCCCAGACACCATAGTTTGGGTCTCAGGGTTGAACATTGGGGATCTGGGAACTGCAATGCAGAACCAGTGTTGAAAACGATTGTCAATGGAGTTCTAACTAACCATGGGGAGGTCAAAGGATGATGAAGATTCTAATTTTGTTGATTGCTTGATTTTGGTATCCCCAATTTTTAATTTACGTGTTGTGCTCTTCCTTTTGCTGACAACCCTATATACTGTGACTGGGACAATACTGGGTGAAATAATTTATCAGATTAAAACATTTATCAATTTAAAATATTTAACATTAGGAAATTATCAACTCAAGAATTTTAAGTGAAAAAAAATTAAGTTTCTAAGTAAATAATTTTCTTTCTGATATATCTTTTACTAGCAGTAGAGCCCAGCATTGCCCGGGGATGTAACAGTAAGAGATAGATCAAGTATCGGCCATCATAAAGACTGAAAAATAAAATTGACAAAGATTATTGTTTAAAGTTGATGGACATGCATGTCTTAATTAGTTTTTTTTTTTTTTTTTAACGAATTGGTCAAACTCAAACAAAAACATTGTTTTCAATCGTTATATTAAATATAATTTTATTATAAACAATTGTCTTGTAAATGGAATTTTTAAAGCATTCTGAATGTAAAAATAAAGAAAAAAGTGTGCAAGACAATAAGAAACACTACCTGCCAAAAAATGTAGTCCTGTGAAGTTTTGTTGAAATCGGTTGAAAAATGTAGGAAATCCGATCCCATATATAAACAAACACACACACACAAACAACCTGGGGTTTATAATAAGTATAACTCAATATGAGTTGTCCCCCTTTCATTTTGGTGATGCCTCTTAATCGTGTTTTCAAATTGATTTCCTGCAAAAACAATTGTGTTTTTCCAATTTTTGCTGCTGTTAGAACCACCGCAAGGTAAATTTTATGTAGTCCTATGAAGTTTTGTTGAAATCGGTTGAAAAATGTAGGAAATCCGATCCAATATATAAACGTACAGACACACACACACACAATCTGCATTTTATAACAAGTAAGATTAATGTTTTTTTTTTTTGTCAGGGCCCTGTTTGAAAAACACAAATTGATGTTTTCACTTATTTTATGCACGGAGATCATGAAGCAAGAACAAAAGATCACTTCTGATGAATGGAATTTCTTTCTCCGGGGTGGTGGAGCCATGGAGATGGTAAATCATTTTTTGTTTTTTTGTATTTACTCTTAATACCTTACTCATCGCTTATTTACCATATATACTTGCCTATAAACCGAGTTCAGGTATAGGAAAAAAATTACCTGTGTTTAGTGCTACTGTTCAAAGAAAAGATCTGATTTTTAACCTTTTAAAAAAATCACCTATGTTTAGTGAGGGCCCCCTATTTTTTACATAAAATGCTGATCATAAAAACTCACACTATATTTGAGTATATATGGTAGGAATATTGTCAACAAAATGTTGACGATCTTGTCGACCTTTTTATATATATCAAGTTGCTAAAAAATTTATATTCAGTTTTTGTCGGTAGATGTCATTGGGAGAGTTTAGTTTCAACTAACTACATTCAAAAAGTCCGCTTTTGATTTCATTCTAATGCCTGTCGAGATGTGCATTTTAAAAAGATGACATTAACAAAATTTGTAGGACACAATTATGAAGCTGCTTGAAAAATGGCTGAAAATCTATGTCCTTTCACCTTGATCATGGCACTTCATAACTATTTTTTAGCTCACTGCAGTGTTTGTGCCCATGCTATACTTCTTAGTTCATGTTCTTTACCCAAGCTCATTTGGTATATTCCTTAATGTATTCCTCTGCTCCTTGTGCCTTCCATATTGCTTGTGAGGGTCAAATTCTGTAAGTCAACTTTCCTAATTATGTGACCCAGAATTTGAATGGTTTGTTTCATGATTTAATGCACAAGTAATATTTTTTTTCCACTTAAGACTTCCTCATTGCATATATGTTCTGTTCATGGTATTCTCAGCATTCTTCTGTAGAACCACATCTCTGATGGTAAACATGTTGTTCAATAATGTCCTAAATAAAAATTCTTTATCTTGATAAATCGGATGAGCATTATGGACACCTCATTGTTGTATATGTAGATATGCAAATCGACCCTCTAAAATTCAGAGTACCATATATACTCTAGTATAGTAGGAGGTTTTATGAGTTTTTATACAAAAAATAGGGGGTTGCACTATACACAGGTAATTTTTTTCTGGAGGGGGTAAAAATTCATTCTTTAACCTAACTCGTAGGCATACATTCTTGCGGTACCTTTAGCTAACTTTAATAGTACAAGTAAGCTCATTAACCCTAAAATAGCCCAGATTCTTTCTGTTGCTATATAAACAGCAGAACAGCATTCATGATATATGCCACTTAAAATGAACAAATGCCTTTATATAAATGAAGAATTTGTGTTCATCTTTTTCACATATGTTTATATCACCGAAGTACTGCTTTTGCAATGTCACCTCTTTTGTCTGTTACATATTTATACTGTATATGTTTCAGTTGTGGTCTCTATTCTGGCTTCCTCTGTTTATTTATTTTTATTCATTATGTTTTTACATTTTACTGGTATTATTTTAACTTATAAATAAAATCTTAAGATATTTTGACAAGATGCACTGCAATATATAGCAAATGATGATTGCACAGGGTGAAATACCAAATGAATTTTAATTCTAGTAGCTTTCTTTACATTATGCAGTAATATTAGCAATAGGAATCAACAAAATTGAGGAACATTATAAAAGCATATCCCATTATTTGTATATGTTGTGTATGATACACCTAATTTACATAAGCGGACTACCGACCATATAAATATGGGTTGGTACCGAAGATCGGGAAGATATAGAGATTAAGAAATTGAATCCAGAGACTCTGCCCGACTGCGATTTAGTCAACCCATTATGCAGGAACAGTCTTCCCAAGAATATACCAAACTAACTGTAAATATTGTGTACCTATTCTTTGTTTCAATACATTTTGTTAACGTACATTTTGTGTTGTATTATTCCATGCTTATTTAAGCTTCAACAGTATATAAGAAACTAAACCCCTCACTGCCTTCCATCAGCATGGCTGATGCTAGCCTCCAGGAAACTGACTCATTGCGACTTCTTGGGCTCACGTTCTCTGCTGATATGAAGTGGAAAGACTATATTGAATCCATTACTAGGTATTACATATCTATAAGTCTACCATTAATCCATGCTTAAAAATTTGCTGCCATATGTGGTCTGGTTCTCCTGCTATTTACGTTGGGCTCTTTGATAGGATCCAAAGAAGAATCTGCAATTATATTGGTCCTGATCTGTCAGCTCAGCTCCAGTCACTTTCCCATTGCTGTAAGGTTGCCTGTCTATGTCGTTTTTATAAATACTTTTATGGTAATTGGTCGAATAAGCTGTTTACTATGGTACCTAGACTTTTTGAATTTAAGTGCTGCAATAGACTGGCATCAAGATCTCATTAATTTACAATTGAGCTGGTTAGATGTAATTATAATTTCTATGCTAACAGTTTCTTTTCTCAAACTTCTTGCTTGTGGAACTCCCTGCTGGCTCCATGCTTTCCAGCTAACTTTAATCTGCAAAAGTTTAAATGCAATGTCAATCACTATCTACTCTCTTCTTGATTACTCTTTTGTTTTCCTGCTCATTATTAATGTATCTGTTTCTAATTCTTCCACACCCTGTAACCCCTCGTGTTTTAGTGACATTACTGCCTTGACTGGAGTGATTCCAATTTAAAAAAATAAAATAAAAATAAAATAAAAATTATACTCAAACTGTTTTCACTCCAGCAACACACCGAAGCATACATTTAAACAACCTTAGTTTCTAGCAAAATAAAACATAAAAATGGATATAAAGTGCTTTTTACTTAGCATGACTTGAATTATCATAAACCATAGTATGTACCTCAACTCATGGGACACCCTGCATTATGTACCTCAACTCATGGGACATCCTGCATTATGTACCAGTAATTGTGAAAAAAAGAAAAGACAATCTCTCAGCGATTTAAACCCTTGGGAAATGAAGATGAATGCAAATTTGAGAGAGTAAAAAATCTATTAATTCTTCATTTATATAAGGTATATTTATATAAGTGACATACATAGTGGATAAGGTTTTGCTCTTCATGTAGCAACAAAAGGGAAAAAACTCAGGCTATGTAGGAGGTAGGTCCAGAGTAAAGGAGCTACCATAGCATGAACAAAAATAAAATTACCATAGATAAATCTTTTTATTAGATATTTTACAGTAAGTGTTTTGTTTTCACCATTTTGGGGTAGCTTTGTACAATAAAGAATTAACACCATTTATTTGCTATAAAATATGTCCAGAATGAGGCTCAGTACTTGCAATATTTGACTACAGTAGGCCTACTAGTATTACTCAGAAGCTGGGGTTGCATTATACATGAGCTATAGGAAAAAATGAAGTTTTTCTCAAAAACTTCAGGGGCGTCACACTATACATGAAGTAGTCTTAAATGCAAGTATATATTTACACTATTTACATCATTTGGACTATTGTCCTCATCTTTGTCATATTCACAACATTTCAGACATTGTACACATTGGCCTTCTTCGGGCTTCTTCTACACTGGAATTTCGTAATTCCGATAGAAGAATAATGTAAATAGTTACAAGACCTCATCTCTAAAATATAGGCATAAGTATATATGGTAGTGAATGCAGGTTTTAGTCTATTTTTATCAGGTATTCTCAGATAGTACAGCTAATCATTGTAAACTCTTTTAAAGATATTAAAAGCTGTGTATGTTATTACTTTATTGAAATATCTTGATCTAATAATGTCAAGTTTTCCAAAAGCTATTATTTGGGGAAAAAGTTTCATGGATAAAGATACTCATTGTAAAACAGTGAAAGTTACATGTCTTAGTGTCTTTTGGAATAAGAAGGCAAAATAAATGCATTGATAAATCAATTATATTTTTCTTTGTGATAAAGAGAGAGAGAGAGAAATAACTTATTTTTAGAATAAAAAACAGTGAATAATGAGATGCAGATGTGACTATTTCCATTTCTGTCTTTTCCCATCTTGGTTCCTTTTTCTTTGTCCTGTCAGATTTAATTTAGTCTCCCATTGATAAATCTTACTTTGCCATTTTGTGGCAAGCTCCACCATGCATAGAATAAAAAATCATTTGCATCAAAGTTGTTCTGAAATTTGTCCTTGGGACTTGATCCAATTGGTTTATTTGTCGGATTTCTCTTCTCTTGTAGTATATTGCTGCTGGGCTCAAATGAGGTGATGAACGCATATATATATATATATATATATATATATATATATAATAAAAAGGCTTAAACACTAATATTCCATGGTCATAATTTATTCCACTGGAATCATAAATCATAATTTTAGGAGCATGGAACCACCTCTTAATGCTGGATATTCTCCTCAAAGATGAATAACAGATTTGAGGTAACAGATGTGCTTCTACAGAAACATGCTGAGAAGGCTATAACCTGAATACATGAGTAATGAGGAAGTTTTAAGGAAAATGGAAAGAAAAAGAGTTGAAATTTTTAAGATACATAAGAAGGAAAGAAGACTTGGCAAATTTGACATCCGTAGGACATATTGGATGTAAAAGGATCAGAAGAAAGTAGTGAGTAATGGTTCAGAGTTATAGTAAAGACAAAACTGTGAACTACAAAGGATAGGAAATTGTAGAGAGCCATAACTGTACATGTTCTGATTGAACATGCCACATAGAAGTAGCAAAAACCTTACAAGATAGTAAAGCAGAAAAACAATAAAAGCAATTCCTTTGTTTTAAGAAAAAGTCTTTTGATTACCATGAAATGAAAACTATTTACATTGTTCAGACTGTTGTCCTCATCTTTGTTGCTGTATTCATGATGTTTCAGCCGTTTTACACTCTGATCTTCTTCAGGTGATTGGAATTTTGAACTGAGCTCTTCCAATCATCCAGAGAATGCTGGAGCATACAATGGCCGAAACATTGTGAATATGGCAACAAAGATGAGGATAATAGTCTGAATAATGTAAATAGTGTAAATAATTACAATACCTCAGAAATATAGACAGATCCTGAAGAATGCTGGAACGTACAATGACCGAAACTTTGTGAATATGACAACAAAGATGGGGATAACAGTCTGAACAATGTAAATAGTGTAAATAATTAGAATACCTCATCACAGAAATATAGACAGATCCTGAAATGAAAACCTTCAAATAGATGAATATGTAAAACAAAGAACATTCAAACTGATTTTCTGTAAGTGAAGAAGTTTAGTAGACAATTTATCTCTTTCTTTCAAAAGTAAATATTTTTTTGTTTTTTAATTGGTATCACCCCAAGCAAGGCAGTACAATCACTAGCACACAAGGGGTTACAGGGTATGGCAGAGTTAGGAACAGAAACATTAGTAATGAGGAGAAAGAGAAAAGAGCAATCAGGAGATAGCGATTGACATTACATTTAAATTATTGCAAATTAAAGTTGATTTGAAAGCATGGAGACATGAGAGAGTTCCACAAGTGAGAAGTGTGAGATAAGAAACTATTAGCATAGGAGTTCAAGTGACATCTGGCTAGCTCAACTGTAAATTGATGAGATCTCGCCACCAGTTTAGTATTGCGTGTAAATTCATAGAGTCTAGGTACCATAGTGAAGAGCTCATCCACAAAAATTACCATGAAAAGTATTTATAAAAAAAAACATAAAGATATCACAAAATTACCTTTGAAAGCTGTTAAAGGGTTTATTTGGATTGTTGGATGCCTCTTATGTGTGGTATTTAATAGACAAGAATAAATAAAGCTAGGAGAAGACCCATCAAAATATAACCAGGCCATTTTTCATGTTAATTTAACCATAACTTGCATGAAAATTTTACTGTCAATGTTGACATTTTCTCTGCTAAATCAGAAATTTTTGAGACCACCCTTATAGAATGACTTCATAATGTTTTCAAAGTTAAATCAGAACACAAATTTTAAACATATTGACTTAAATGTAAAGGAAGTCAAAGAGAGTGTAATTTTGGGTCAAGAAGAATATGTTAAAAATCTGGTTCCAATTCCACTGGGAACTCACAGAAATGTTCAACATAAAATATCACCAGATTTGGTTTCAAAAGTCGGGCAATTGATTGGGGCAGCTAAAATGGCTGACAATTCAAATGAGACCAGATTTGAGCTATCAATGAATTAAGTTCAACATTGAAACAGGAAAAGGGCTGATTTCATTTAGGCAAGTCAATAAAATTGTTAAGAGTAAAATCTGATAGTCATTCCTGATTTCTTCTTCAAGTATCATGTCCCCTCATGATGTAGTTGATCATGACTCTCCACAATTTCCTGTCCTTTGTAGCTCTTAATAAATTTTGTTTTTTTGTTATTTCTCCTAAACCCTGTTCCACCATTCATATACTTAAGTTCATCAAGGGAAAAATCATAGAAGCATGTTTCTTTCAATTAATTTTGAAGATAGTAGTTAAAAGTATAATATTGAAGTTAATTATGGACTCTCAAGGTTGAAAATGTGAAAAAAAATGCCAAAAAAATATTTTTACCCTAAAATATTACTTTTTTGACACAAAATTTCTATGGATATCAGAAAATATTTCAAAATTCCAAAAATCAGACATGCATAACTATGCATTTTCTAAAAATATGAGATGAGAGGGTGCAGAAAAATTAAGTTTCATCAAATCTGATCTTTGGTATTTTAAATTAATCCATTTCAAAGTTAGGCACACTTAGTTAGAAAGGTATCATTCTTGAAATACAAAAGTTTATCTGAATAGCCATCGACAAATTTTTTACACCAAATATGCCTCCAAAACTTAACTGAAGGGTTTATTGACCTAATTCTTACTTAAAAGAACTCAAAAATGGATTTAATTAAAAAAAAAATGATGTGAAAAAATTACCAGAAAAATCCTCAAAATTCGACTGATTTTAAATCAAGATTGTGATGAATCTGTTGAGATTCTTGGCAAAAAATGAGATTTTTCTGACAGTACGGATAAAGGAGGAACATCCACAACAGGAAATGCTGCTTGGCACGTCCTTCATTTTGGTAGAAGAGATATTGTTCTCCAAATAGTTGATGAGTGTTACACACAAATAATGCAACAATTTTGCCAGTATCTTTCCATGATATGTCTTTTCTGCTCATGCAAGCATGTGTATGTGAAAGTGTCCTGGAAACTTTGTACAAACCTTTATTTTTTCTCCTCAAAAACTTTCCACACCGAGGTATGTTTTTAATGTCTTTTCCTTTCCTTTCAACTATGTACACATTAATGTAATTATTTTTGTTAATACATGCATTGTTTGTTTAAATTCCATGTTTTTGTTACTTATTCTTGCCCAGACTCACACAGGTCCGCCAAATATTGTTAGCGGCACAAATATGCCAGGAGTCATAAAACGTTTACCAAAAAACGTCCACACCTCACAACAAAAAGTGAAGACACCCGCAATAAAATAAAGATACCTTGTGTTAATTCCCAATCATGTAAAGAAAGCAAATTGAGGAACTGTTGTTATGATGAGTTACACTATAACAGTCTGTTTTGAAAGAATCACGAAAAGTACTTTGGATGCTGAAACAGGCACCATGTTTAATCTTTAGGAAGCAAGTATTTTCTACTTTATTTACATTCTGAATGTTGTTCTCAATTTTGTTGTTGTTATTGACCAGTATGTTCTCAGCTTTCATCAAGTGTATATTGATCTGGATAATTCAGGGAATTTGAAACTAACCCTTTATTTAATCTATAAGTCAAGACTGTTCTCATTCCACTGCGCCTGTCTAGGGATATCTTATCTCGTTCTTATTTTTAGTATTGCTCAGTTATTGCTCACTAGGTTTCCACTGAGTCCAAGTACACACTGCGCAGCCCAGGTATTGAACTTACAATTACTCAGTCAGTTATGTGCCATGCTTTTGATACCTGACTGTGTTATGTGGGAACACACCTATTCTATAGTTAATAGACTCTCCCACCTATAATAAGTAGGAGTAGTAAGAGTCGGTCAGTCATTTGATATCGGACGACAGTTAGTCGAATACTAAAGTATCAGTGACCACGACTAGATTACTCTGCGTCATACCTATTAAGTTCCTAACGTTTTGTATGTTGAACCTATTTTAGGACCGACTTAGTACAAATACAAGCCACCACTCTGAAAATCACTCCACAACAGACTGACAAAGCAGATTTTTTCCCACAGTAGATTGCCATTTCTTTCTGCGGTAGACCAGTTACCTACCAAGGCTATAGAACCTGGTCTGTCCTGCTACTTAACCAAGCTGGTGGGAGAAGAAGAGGATTCATACCTTTCCCAATGGTATTAGCATGTAAGTGAATGTAATGAACCTAACTGGAATTTGAACACAGCTCTTCAATTCCTCAATCCTAGCCATTATCCATTATTCCACCATACCAATTACTATGTCACCAAATTCACGAGACAATTCTCTGTGGAGAAGGACTTAACCTGCCTACTGATGAGTACTACTGCTGCTCGCCATGCACTCACTGAAGCTTTTCCCTTTTATTACAGCTGGTGACATATTAATTGTGAGTTCAATCCTTTGGTTGGGCAGTGTGTACTTGGACTCAGTGTAAACTGAGTGAGCAATAGCTGAGCAGTACTAAAAATAAGAACTAGGCAAAGTATCCTTAGACATGGACTGTGGAATGTGAACAATTTACCCCATACATTCAATAAAGTGTTTAGTTCAGAATTCGTTGTCTGTTACACAAGTTGATATACACCTAATGAAGGCTGGAGGGCGCAATGCTTGAAATATTATGATAACAACAAAAAAGATAAGGACAATAGTCTGAATGTAAATAAAGTAGAAAATAGTGGCTTCCCAAAAGTCAACCATGGTTTCTGGTTCAGCAGTCAAATTCTTTTCCTGATTCTTCCAAGACATTTAGACTGTCAAAACATAACTTATTTTAACCTTTTCCTCTATTTATATGAGGAGTTATAATTATTTATATTAATTATATTAGGACTATTTTCCTCAACTTTTGTGTACTTAAACTCAGTGGAAATCTAGTGTGCAATAACTGAGCAGTACTAAAAATAAGAACTTGGCAAGATATCCCTAGACATGGGCTGTGGAACTAGAACAGTTTACCATATACATTCAGTAGTGTTTAGTTCAGAATTCGCTTTTACTTGAATTGATATACACCTGATGAAGGCTTGAGGACACAACCGTCAAAATGTAATAAAAACAACAAAGATGAGGACAAGAGTCCATGTGTAAATAGTCTAAGTAATTATAATGCACCATCCCAGAAATTCAGATGTTACTGTGATGTGTAACAGCAGCTAACATAAGCGATCCAGCTGGAGGAACTCAGTTACACATGCACATAGATATACTTTTCTTTAGTGTTCTGTTATTTCAAAGAAAAATTATATCTTTTTGAAAAAAAACTTCTGAAAGCTCCTACAACATTTTGTGTCATTCTGTTTGCTTATTGGATATTATTTCTGTCTTGTAGGAACGCGACAAGAAACCTAACTTCTCATGGCTCAATCAACACACGTGGAACATTGCAGCTGATCTCGGCAACTTGTGCTCAGCTTTTTCAAACTTAACAACAGAAATAACGAAGCATCTAGTTTATGTCACTCTGGAAAACGACAAAGTAATTCTGGCATTGATTTTTTTTTTTTTTGTCTTATAAAACAAAAATCTTTTCAGGCATTGGATACTGTTGCTATATCTGGTCTGGTGCTCCTGCTATTCATCTTGAGGTTCTTGACAAAATCCAAAGAAGGATCTCCAATGTAATCAATCCTCAGTTGGCATCTTGACTTCAGTCACTTTTTCACCAAAATGACATGGCTTTTCTCAGTCTTTTCTACAAATATTTTCATGGCAGCTGCTCTAACAAGCTTTTTTCTCTAATGCCCTGACTATGGGAATTTAAGCATGCTACCAGATTGGCTTCTAGGTCTCACCATTTTACTGTTGAAATAACTAAATGAAACCGCCACTTCTACTCCAACAGTTTCTTTTCCCGCACTTCCCACCTGTGGAACTCGCTTCCGTTTACTTGTTTTCCCTGACTACAATCTTCAAAAATTTAAATGCAACGTCAATCGCCATCTTTCATCTTCTTGAATCCTGTTCCTTTCCTCAATCCCTGCTATACCCAGTCTTTTCTCTCACTTGCACTCTCTGTAACCCCCTGCTTACTCGAGTGATTGAAAAAGAAAGTGTTTTGCTGACTTGATGCAAAGGTTTCCAGCAATATTTAACACTTTTCATTGCTATAAATTCATTATTCCATTTAAAGTTTTTTCTCTCAACTTATTATATGGGCATGTGGCTGAGTATTCAAAACATTCACTTTCCGACCATGTAACCCAAGTTTGAATTTAACCATGGTCATGAGTCCACTACAATTGTTGTATTTCAGGAGACAGCGTGTTATTCCCAATTTCAAACACCGACATTGCTAACACCTGCAATAAGTTGGGAAGCGTAATAGCCAGTCTGTAACAAGTTGGTGACCCTGACAATTTGTCAGTAAAGAATTCTTGATGTTATCAGTCTTGGGGTTGGTGATGCACCTGTGAATAGTGCCTGAAAACCATACCACAGGTTGGCAAGCCTTGTGAATGAAATTGGCCAGATGGAACTATTTGGGAGCTGTTGATGGCTGTGCTAGCATGAAGTCACAAGTCATCGTGTCCGAGCGAGATAATGTGCTCACTCCCAGAAACTGTAACCCATGTCTGCTCAGCATAGTTGCAGTATAAACCACAGGTGGCCTCTGTGTGTATTGAACAAATACAAATGTGACTGAGCGAGCGACTGCAATAGGGATTGGCTAGCTGCCCTAGTAGACAGGCATCCTTGGATATGAGCGTTCATCTATAAGATTAATTATGTTATCTTTTAGCTGAATTATATATTCCTGTTCTTCTATCGTTCTCTATCCTAAATAGTATTTTTTTTCTTTTTCATATCTAATACAGTAAAGTCCTTGTGGCTTAGTTGCTCTATTGTCTTGCTTGGGGTGAAATGATTAAAAAAAGATTCCATTATAAAAAAAAAAAAAATGGTGGAGTTTTGATTCAAGGAATTTTTCAAGTGATTTTTAATATTCAAAATTTGTTATAACCATTGACCATGAAGTAAAATAATAAGTAATTTGAATGTGACAAGTATGGAGAATAAGTTGTACTAGACTTATTTTTTTATGGCTTATCAACCTTTTGTAGGTTATTTAAAGCCAAAACATAATTTTGGATTGTAAAAATAATCCTTTCATTTTCTGAGAGCATATTGCATTAACAATTTTTTTAGAGATAATAATCATTTTCAGATACCAGTCCAAATATTTAGCCCATAGCTAGGGGGAGAAAAAGTAGATTCATAACATTTCCCAAGGGTATTTGCATGTAAGTGAATGTAACGTACCTGAGTGGAATTGGAACTTGACTCTCCAATTTCTAGTTACCAACAATTATTCGTTGCGTCACACACACATCCAAGCCTACAACATCTTGTATTCTCAAGTGGTCACCCATTAAGGTACTAAGCAGACTTGCTGATGCTTAACTTTGGTGATCATAGGAGAATCATTGTTTTAACATGATATGGCCATAAGCTATGTTGTAGTGGAAGAACTTCCCACACCAGTTCTATCATTGTTTGCGATATCACATTTACAGCATAGAGAAGGATTTTCTCATGCAGTCAAATCATTAGTCAATTTTTTCAACCAGGAAAAAGTGCCTCTCTCTTGATTTTCTTTCATTCTTTGACAAGGCTTCTTTGATATATGTTGAGATTGTTATCAAAAGGATAACAATATCCATTCCATAGTTCACATGATTTTCTTTTTTTAAATAATTTCATGCCAAGGCAATAATGCCACTAAGACACAAGGAGTTACTGGGAGTGAGAGTAAATGGGAAGACATTAGTGAGGAGAAAAGACAATAAAAGAACAGATTTCAGGAAGACAGAAAATGGCGATTGATCTTGCATTTAAAATTTTGAAGACTTAGTGACAGGGAAGTGAGAAACTGGAAGAGTTCCATGAGGAGGAGTGCAAGAAAAAACTTAGAATGGAATATACAGTTGAATCTCACTAGTTTAACAGTAAGATGATAAGACCTTGTTGTCAGTCTAGTAGTATGTTTTAGTCCATTTAGTTGAGGTACCAAGGAGAAGAATTCATTAGAACTGCCATGAAAGACAGAGCAAAACTATATTCTGGTAGTGCGAAAGTAACTGAAGTCAAGATGCCAGGTTAGGACTGATAACATTACAGACACTTTGGATTTTGTTGAGAATCTCAGGATATATAGCAGGAGCACCAGACCCTATATGACAGCAATATCCAATGGTGGATGAATGGTAATTTATAAATATGTAAAATTTTAAATGTGCACACACCCCAGTTAGTCATCCAAGAATTCCAACACCACAGCTGGTTGCTGAAGTGACTGCTTAAATCCAGAGCTAACATTACCCCCACGCTGTGATTTAAGTTTGATCGTAAGGTAGCCAAGATCGAACTGTTGCAGGTATTTTTGTGTTGGGCTGGTCCAAACAGGGTGATGACATACAGGGAAAAAAAATAACATTTGAATAAATTGAACAAAAACAAATACTGGTTTTATAACAGCCTTCATACAATAATTGTTTTATATCAGAGTTTGCATGCAATTACTTATCAGCCCAGCCCGCATCTAAAGTGGAAGTGATACTATCGTCGCCCTGGTACAAATCTGTTTTGCTGTTGTTGGTAAAGTTCAACACAAGGCTTTAAGTTTGAGCCTCTCTTTGGCAGGCAATCACATGGCCTCTGTTCTATCTCATCTCTGACTCGTCTCTTTCTGGCAAATTCACTTCATGCATTAGTATTTATGGACATTACCAAAAACTGGCATGGGGATATGGTGAGGTAAGGACATTTTGAGGAATCCCCTTCGGTTTACCAACTTTTTCAGTGAGCATGGGTGACCTATCCATCCCCCCTCCTGTCTTGAATCAACTTCACATCCCTTGTTTAGCGAAAATGAAATTTCTGCTTGCAGGTGTGCATCAATCAAACATACATCAACCCTCAAGTCTGGGTCACTTTTCCATTGTTCAAACTGCTCAACATACAATTCAAGTCATTTATATGTGAATTTAATCTTCAATTTTTCCTGGAGATTCTTTTGCTATTAACTCTTCTTGTTTCCATGTCTCTCAGCATGTAACACTTTCTTATGTTTTAACAACGCCTTCTTTGGTTTTACCACAGCAACGACAAATAGTTTCACAAAATTCATTCTGACAAGAAAAATTGTCTGACACAACACAGTATTATTTATTCATTTTCTTTGAAAAGTTCATTGAATTGAAACTGGAATTGTTTCATGATTTAATGCACAATTTATCTGAATGGCAGCATCAGGACATAGAAATTCAAGGAAAGGCAAGTTGGGTTTGATAATGAAGATATTTATAAGAAGAAAATGTTTAGTCAGAGAAAAAGCTAGTAACATTTGCATCAACTGAGTTAACACAATATAGATGAAAGGAAATATATTCATTATCTGAAGTGATATAGTCATTGCTAATTTTAATTTAATTGCAAATTTTAAAAAAATGACTGAAGAGAATATTCTATTCTATTTGCCCCCTCTAAATTGCAGGTATGTGCAAACTCTGAGATTTTGACCACAAAAACTGACGATGATGAGTCAGCTGCAGACATCGAAGGATGTTGGGATGAGAAACTAACCAGCTTCCAAAAACTCATATTTATCAAAGCTTTTCAAGAAGAAAAGGTAAAGTAATTTAGAGTTTCAAATTACAGAGAGTTCCATATGTTACTGTCAGATTTCTTTTTTTTTTTCTTTTTTCTTTTATTTATATCACTAGCCACTAAAACACAAGGGGGTGACAGGGTGTGGAAGAATTAAGAACAGAAACGTTAATCATGAGCAGGAAGAGGAAAGAATTATTGGGAGAACAGTAGATAACGACTGACTTTTTAAACTTTTAAAATTTAACATCAAGAAGTAGAGCATTAATAGTAATAAATAAAATTAAGTATTCAACTTATCTGTCTCTACTCAGTGTTTCATGAATATGGTATTCAATCTTCAGGAGACTTGATAGTAAAATGTAGATACTATTTTACTTGAAGTTTCTTTAAATGTGCTCTTCAATATTTACTAATAAAGCAATTCTAAGAGAACTATTAGATATGCAGATGATACTATTGATGGCAGAGGCAGAGAGGAAATGGCAGGAGCTCCCAGATACGCTTGTTAAGGAAAGGTAGAAAAAAGGACTAAACATCAACTGTAGAAAGACAGAATTTATGATGGACAACAAAAGGTAAAGCCCAAGTATTAGATCCACATAGTTGCATTTAAATCAGCATCAGGAGGCCTGCAACCCCTACTGGTTAAAAGTGGTTCAATCCTGGCAGGGCTGGCTCTAGGGTCTTGCCCCCACCCCTATACATGTTGGTTTCAAAATTTCTCAACCTGGTGGCCATAAACCCTTAAAGGAAAATAGAGAGGGAACTGCAGCAATTTTTTTTTTTAAATTAACATAAATCAGGAAATTATCCAATTTAAATGAAAATTTCAGTACATATTCATTAATTATTTACCTTTATAATGAATAGCCTTTTTTTATTTAAAAAAATTCTGAGAAAATGTTATTCTTTTTGTAATAACCACTAATATTTTCATGACTAATTTTTTTTTTAAAATGTTTAAGTTGCAAATTTTTACATTTCCATAAAGATTAATCACCAGCAGAGATGCATCTCTGCTGAAAAAAAAAGAAGTTTTACAAAGGTTACAACATAACACAAACAGGTTTGTCTTAAAAATTTGTTTTAAAAACAGTATTTCAGTTTTTTAGGAAAATTTTTCATGTGTTGAAATCTTTAAACTAGAGGGACTAGAAATTTTATTTTAATTACTTGTTGTTGACTTTTGGTTAGTATTACTATTAGTAAAAAGAAAAAAAAATCAGAGATCTTCCTTAGTGGATGATCACGGAATAAAAAAATGATGTTACCAAGCCTCTTAATTGATTTAAAAGAACTGTTCAGAAATAAAATTACAATTTAAAAAAATAAGCACTATTGAAATTAGCACTTCTGCACCCTCTCCCCAGTAGGCATGGGGCCCCCACATGGTTGAGAGGTTCTGGGTAGTAAGTACTGGCCTTGTTGATTATTACAGTTGATGATTGACAATATAGCTTAGGTAGTAAAAAGTCCAAAAAGCAAAAAAACTCTGCTGAAACTGGCCCTTTTGGGGCTCCAACCTTGTCCAGGATTCCTGCATAGTATGCTCCACACTGGCCATGAAGATACATGATGTAATATTATTAATTCCTGACTGACAATATAACATTAGTTTAAAAATAATAGTAAAAAAAATGAGGATGGCCATAAAACAATGCTGAAAAAAAATGGCAGAGGCCACAACAGGGCCTTCCAAAAAGTGGGGGTTCCACCCTGGTTAGGGCTTTCAGGGGTAAGACCTGCCAGCTATGAATCCTGGAGCTGTATTTTAAGCTCTGCCAATTTTATCCTTTGTCAGTTTTGGTATCAGGTGCCTGGTCAAGCTGTGACACTTTGGACAAGAAATTGCTGTTGCTCTTCCCTTCTTTTGGATTGTGGATCTGTTTCTTGCGCATTGATGCATCATGATCCTTTTTTTCTACTAGAAAATGGATTAACAAAACTTAAAAACAAAACAAAACTGGGTTTTTGTTATTTGGAGAAATAATACAAAAAAATTCATATATCAGAAAATAATTGATATTAAATTTTATTCTGTTAATGTTTCCTTCAGTAAAAACATTATCAGAACAACTGAAAAAAACTAGGGAAAAATTGTTACCATGACAACCTTTTTGCGGTGGTTAATTTGAAAGTTTAACAGTTAATAAAAAGTGGAAATAAATATCTATAAACAAATGAATGAGATTTATACATAGAAAACTGTTAAAATATAGTGATTTTATATAATATATATATTTCCAGTTTTGTTTGGATCAATTCTCATTGGTCAGTCATGTATAATGTCACCTTAATTAAAAAAGAACATAATTCTTTAAGGAGAATATATTTTGAAAGCTTAATTATAACATTATTACCAACTATAAACACATGTCTAAAACATTACATCAAAATATTTCTTTGAATCCATTCTTAAAGAATCTAACTTATATCTAACACAAAGAATATGCATATAAAAACAGTTCCAGGTTAAATGGAGTGCCACCACTCTGTGCCGTCTGACTGCACAAAGTTGAAGATATCAGAACTTCTACTAGACAAACATACACAATTATGAATACACATTACCATCTGCTTAGATATACTAGAATATTTACAAACTTCTATACATATAGAATTATGTACGGTTTTAATGCATGTGATACATGACTGACCAATGAGAATCAACCCAAACAAAACTGAAAATACCAGTTCTGTCTTTTTGTCTGTTTTCCCAAAATCATACTTATTATAAAACCCAGGTTGTGTGTATGTGTGTGTGTCTGTACGTTTATATATTGGATCGGATTTCCTACATTTTTCAACCAATTTCAACAAAACTTCACAGGACTACGTAAAATTACCTTGCAGTGGTTCTGACAGTGCCAAAAATGGGAAAAAAAAAATTGTTTTTGCATGAAATCAATTTGAAACACGATTAAGAGGCATCGCAAGAATGAAAGGGGGACAACTCATATCGAGTTATACTTATTATAAAACCCAGGTTGTTTGTGAGTGTGTGTGTCTGTGTTCGTTTATATATGGGATCGGATTTCCTACATTTTTCAACCGATTTCAACATAACTTCCCTTTTTTTTTTGGCAGGTAGTGTTTCTTATTGTCTTGCACACTTTTTTCTTTATTTTTACATTCAGAATGCTTTAAAAATTCCATTTACAAGACAATTGTTTATGATAAAATTCTATTCAATCGGTAGGCTCATAAAGATTGAAAACAATGTTTTTGTTTGAGTTTGGGTTTGACCAATTCGTAAAAAAAAAAAAAAACAACAAACAAAACAAAACAAAAAACTAATTAAGACATGCGTGTCCGTCAACCTTAAACAATAATCTTTGTCAATTTTATTTTTCAGTCTTTATGATGGTTGATACTTGATCTATCTCTTACTGTTACATCCCTGGGCAACACCAGGTGCTACTGCTAGTCTTTGATAAAGCTTAAATAAAAGTGAAACATGTTAGATTGATAAACGTTTCCTGCTTGTTCTTTATCTTATATGTGTGTGCATCTTAATGAAAGAAATGACAAAGGGAAAATCTTTTATGCCAATGTGTTTTGTTTTGTTGAGGAACATTATCAGAGCTGTTCGATCTAAAAAGAAGTTTATTGCTTTTAAATCAGCAGCAGGAAGCCTGCCACCCATACTGGTTAAAAGTGGTTCAATCCTGGAGCTGCATTTAAGTTTGTCAGTTTTTGTATCTGGTGCTTGGTCAAGCCTTGTCAGTTTGGATAAGAATTTGCTGTTTCTTTTCCTTTCTTTTGGATTTTGGATCTGTACTTACAATTGATGGTAAGATGTAGTTAAAAATTTCCAATGATAAATATGCCTTAAAAGAGTGCCAGGTATTACGCTGTAGGAATACATGATCCAATTTATTGACCAACAGTTCAATTCCATTATTAGAGCTCATTCCCTGCACAGTTAACACTGATGTGGCCAATCTGGATCAACTGTTCTCTGCTAAATTCAAGTGCATGGCATTAAACCATTTACTTTTTGGCAAGTCTGTAGAATTTGCAATTCTAATTCCTTTCTTCAAGTCCCAATCTGTTGTGTCTTCATTAAACTCTGGAAGAAATTCCAGGCTACATTTGGTGGCCATAAGTACACTCTCCTACCAAGTGTAAGAGTTTTGCATCATATCACTCATCAGGGGTCAGATGTTTGATAAATCTATTGAAATTAGTATGCCTTACATTTATACACCCCTCGGAGGAAAAACACTAATCTCGTATTTCATACCAAGATTTTAACTATGACTCGAAGATTTCAAAATCAAACAAGTACAGAAGTTTAAACATCTGGGAAGTGTTTTAACAGATGACAGAAAATGTCACACTGAAATCAGAAGATGCTTTCCATAAGTTAAAAGTAATCTTTCTATGTGCCGTGTCATTTCAGGATGTAGATGATCATGGCTCTCAACCTTCCTCTATCCCTTGCAGCTCGCAAAATATTAAGAAACCAGAAAAGTTTGTTAGAAACAAAGAATAGTGCTGAACTGTTTCATAATAATTACATGATTGCTCCTTTCTTTCACCATTCAGTGTTTTAATTATATTCTGTGCTTGATTAACCCTTTCCCTCTATAATTAAATTTCATAGTGAGTCCTATAATAATATTAATTATTCACCAAATCCACAGTTAATAGTAATAAAATTTTGAGCAGATATATCTGCTTTCCATAGCAAAAGAGTTAATCTTGTCATCTGATTAATTACACTAAAGTTGAATTTGTGAACAGAAATATTTAGTTAAAACAGTGATGAAGATAGATTAAGATAAGCTTTAGGCTTTAGTAAATAGCTGTCATACAGTGATGAATATAGAGAGACTAAATGAAAGTGGATCGGACTTCTTAAACATTAGTAATGATGTGTTAGATTCTCATTATCCGTTACCCTGCATTGAACAATGAAGATATTTTTACAAGATTGGGTGTAGTTAAATATATGAAACAAGTTACAGAAGTTGAAATAGACAATATAAAGGAAAAAAGACAATAGGAAAATTGTGTTGTTTT